GCATCCTCATAACAATGGAAGATTGCTATAATTGTGCTGTTTCTGGTGCCTCTTATGCTATATTTCGCCTGTATTTTATGATTTTTGAGGCATTCTTTTTAATTGTTTTTTCTCCATCTTCTTTATTATGTCTAAAGCATGAATACCGTAGTATTTATCAACGAGGTTTCTTCCAGGATTTAGTTTCTTCAGGATCTAAGTTATTTAAAGGGTAAAATTAGCTCTGAAAACTCACATAAATAGAATGAAGTATCTCAAAAACAAAAATTTAAAGGAACAGCAAAGATTGGAAAATAAAAAAGTTTCTAAGTTTGTTTTAGATAATTCCATCCTCATATCGTACATGATTTTAGTCGGATATGGCTTGTTCACTTGCTGATCGATTAGGTTTTCATTTTATTCCGGAATTTCAAATGGATGAGGTTCTGGTAGATCGTTTTGGCAATGATTACAGAAATTACTATCATTTGGTTAGTCTTGTTACTTTTGGCCAAAACAGTTTTTATAAGTTATTTTAACGAATATTTGATTAAGCACTCATTTGTGGGATTATATGTTGATTTAGAAAATATTACGGTGTCAGGCTTAAAAGAGATCGGAATATTTTTTAGAAGCAAAAATTTCTTTGCATGTAATGCTACTTATGGTTAAACTGTTTAAAGTTTTTTACATGTACAAAAGTTGTGTCTTTAGTAATGATGAATATTGCAATGATTTTTTTCCATTTCACTCATTTTTTGTTAATTATTTTCGATTACAGTTTCCAAAATCTTTCCGTCTGTTTGACATGAATATGTTCTACAAAGATCCCGGCAACGACGAGACAGCAAAGATGCGTGACCGTATTCTTAGATGCAAATTCGACCAATATTTGAACGCTATAGCACATATTATGAACACTGGTAAGAATTCAATTATTTAAATAATAATGTTAAGAAATTCAAGTTTTGTAGCTTATTTATGAGAGTTACATACTTTCAACGAAGTTGTCTTGATAAGTGAATGTCTTCGTTTTTAGAATAAAGTAATAAAATGCTCTAAGCTTATACCTCAATGTACTTGAAATATGAAATGAAATTACTTAACATTATTTGTTGTCCTGAATTACATACTCTCCAATCTCATATTGTTGTTATCGCCTGATGGAAAGATAATAACAGTAATCATTCTCGCAGAACTCAGTAAAGTCACTGTTTTTTTTCCATTTTTTAATAAACATGGTATGTACGATAAAAGTCAGACGTATTTATTTCATTATATTAAGCCACTTCCGAGAAAAGAGTGCTGTAGTGACTTTAGGGATGAGAGGATGATACAATAAATCAATACCAAGAATTTGTATTGGATTGTTTCACTGTTTTAGTTACTCTACGGTATTTCATTTCCAGGTCAAGGTGTTGTTTTGGAACGTACTCCACATACTGACTTTATTTTCGCCAATGCATGTCGTGCTAAAAATTATATTGGACCAGAATGTAAGAAAACACTGATTAACTCAATAGTTTCTTTTTTATTCAGGATTTTAATATTGCATATAATTCAAAATCATCTAATATTGCTTTTCATTTGTAATTTAGTGCACTTTCGTTTTCTAATTTTCAAGTATTTATTTTATTGTTTTCAGATCACAGTCATATATACTGATTTTCAGCGTTTTTAGTTAAAAGCAAGGGAGAAAATCAGATTACAGTTAAAATTCAATGGTTCATAGAAGGGTTGCAATAGATCACGCTTTTATCTTTTTTAGATTTTACCTATTATTACATCGAACGCAAGAATATGATACCAAATTGCCGTTTTTGGCCACATCTGGTTATTTATTTAGATGTGCCGGTCGATAAATGCCTGCAGAACATCTATCAGCAGGGAAATGTCTGTTTTTTTTTTTTTTTTTGTGTTTGTGTGTGTTCTGATGAACACCTTCTGAATTCATATTCTCTTTTTTTCACTTTGTAATATTTACAGAACTCAGTTGCCTGCAAATGATTATTGTGTACTTAAATGAATGACACACTTGTAATTTTTTCTCATCTTATAAAAAAAACAACTTTTTTTTCTGTAATTTCAGGCAGACAAAATAGCAATTATTGATCAGATTTATTTGCAAACAATCGAAGATTCATATAAAGATGCTTTGAAAGAATTTAGGTTCATTTACATCCTTTTTGAATTCAAGTAAAATCAGTGTATAAGATATCCTGTTGAGGTACGCTAAAGGAGCGTCGCAAAGAGATTTCGAAATGCTGAAATCTTTTGTAGTTCTTGGTGGCAAGACATAATCTGACTTTCATTGTAGGAAGCATTCCGAAATATTGGTTTATGACTGGACAGTGCCTGGAAATGTGGATAACGTCGTGGAAGATATCGAAGATATGGATTTTGATTTCTTTGAACATCACAGAAGTGACGTTTTCGGAACTTGGGAAAACGGAAAAAACGAATTGGACTACTCCATTGCACGAAATTTGTATGTTTTACTTTTTTCTTTTCGTAATGCGTTGGCGTACCTATCAGTAGCGTTGATTGTCGTTTAACAGTGGTGCTTCCTGAGGGTTTGATACTATAGATGCCATATATTTTATTATCATGTTACATGGTATGAAATACAGTGTTAATTGGAGTACCATTGAAATAATGATCATTATGAAACTAAGATTTTAGTGTAACAGACAAGAGAGAAGCACATGCGTTAGCATTTTTGGGTCTTCCTGATCATGAGTGTGGCGAATTATATCAAAGTCCTCGAGAGATTGGGCGCTACATTCAGTGTATTCATAATGAGGTTTGATATTTGAAAATTTTTTCTTTGAGTAGCTTAATTTGATTGTTTTTCACTTATTTACTTATTTTCATAGCTTGCTAATTAAACTTAAGTTCTTATTTCTTCTCTATACTTCTCACTCCTTAATAAATGTGGTTTGTCTCTGGAACGCACTCACACTTAAATCATGCTACTGCTCTGTATAATTAATTGAGCAAAACTTTTTTTCAGATTCTGAAAACACCATATGTTTATTCAGCAATCAGAGATAAAGGGGATAAATTTGGATGGTTCAGCAAAGTAAGCACATTCACTAAAGGTGAACCATGGTAAGTTGTTTGCATCTTCGTTGTACCCAGCGTGATTTATTGTATAATTTATTAATAGTAAATGACACAAACAAGTGATAGCAAATAAAAGCAAACATAGAAATGCAGTGCTATTTTTAATTTTTCCGATTGTAAGAAACTTTTTTAAGAAGACTTCGCATATCATTCCAGTATTCTGGCTTTTTAAAATTTGTTGCATGTTCTGGACTTCTAGTAAATTTTCTAACTTGGTTTTCAGGTTTGAGTATTATTACAAGGATGCATATCTAGAAGATCTTGTTGGTGTCCAAGAAGTAATCGCTGACCCAACACATCAGAGTTACTACAATCAGATTCATAATGAACACTAAGTTTTTCATGAGTTTGTGACGTCCACATTGTGTACCTCTTTTGTGCAATTTTAATTCACCGGGAAGATTTGAACATATGATATCATGTATAAAGATTGATATTATAAAGATTTGTATAAAGTGTGATCAAATTAATTTGCAAAATATAAATCTGAATGCGAAAATAGATAATGCAATATTTTAGTGTTATTCTACCAAAATGGTCAGGATTTTTTAGCTGAAGAATAACCTGATATATATATAAATGTATGGAAGGTGATGAAATTAGATGAAATGTGCTTTCGTGCTGTTTTGTGAAATCGTTGTTTTTTTCGTCTTTTTTAGTTTGCTATTGCTATGTTTCTTTTTTTCCAATTTTTTTTGTGTACCAACTAGTTTGGCTTTCAGGTTAGATTTATTTGATTGTTTAGTAAGCATTTACTTTTTAATTCCACTGAGTTATTTGAGTTGCAGTACTATATATATCTTTTTTTCTTTTTTGATAAAAATGTTAAGGCTTGATTTTGTTGTGTTTTAGATAGCTTGCCATATGGTGATTCTAGATGGTGTAAGGTTTTGACGATAGCGATAAATTTCAAGCGAAACCGGTAATCAGAAGTAGAGTTGACTGTTTGCTTAAGACACAAAACATTAGGGTGGGAATTCATGTAAACACTTTTAGAAAATTTGTTGTTGATGATAGGTCCAATTCATGTCGTCATTGCAACCAGTCTCAATAAAATTGCTGCTAGATAAATAAGAGAAGCTACACCAATTCCGCTCTTCATGGAGACATATCACTGAAAAATGCACTTTTCATCAGTTAGGTCAAATGCCTTTTTAGTGGATCAGCTGCTGTTTCTCGACCGTTTCTTGTAGAAAAGGTCGAAATCTAGCTTTCCATACATGTCTTTTTCTGGATTATCTAAAAGCAATCAGTTTGCTAATTTATTGTGTTGAACCTTTACAAGACGGCTAACATGCATTAGATCTTAATTGATTTGCCAGACAAAGCAACAACCAATATGATCCAATTTGATGGATCATACTTTCCATCCATATCAAAGGGAATGGTTTAAATCAAAGCATGAATGTAGTACTGAACTCATCACTTAGTAAGATTGGATTTCACCTCATTTATCTTATGAGTACCCTTAGTTGCCGTCATTTCACAAATTTCTGCTCGGACCGTGAAACAGAAAATTTCCTTTATTGTGTGCTATAATTGTGCGTTTCGAATAATATTACGATTTTCTGAAACATTAGGGATTTTGTAATCCTAAGTGTTGAAGCCCAGTTATTTTCACATCCTGAAAGCTGTAGGAGTCAAGAGTGATCTTTAATTTAGCAAACACAATCTTTATTGTGAAGCAACTTGGTAATAAAAGATAATTTCAAAGTACTACAACTTAAAATGCGAAAGATATTGTTTACGTTGAGAATTAATTTGTGCTACTTGAAATGCAACAAATATCTTGGGAGGAAAAATGGGAGAAACTTTTCTAACGAGATGTACAAAAGGGTGAAGGAAAAAACAGTATCGAAAATTTGCATATAAATTTGTAAAAAATAATTTTATAAATGTTCAAAACTACCAAGAGTTCATCATTTGAAGCGATGCAATCCCTTTATTCTGACTCGGACGTTGAAGCTAACAAAGCGAATGCACTGTAATTGGATTCTTTCAATTCTTGATTAACCGCCATTGTAACTTAAATGTTTGCAAGAGACTATGCAAATGCGAATTAGACTCATTTAGTAAGACGGTATCAACCATTGCCTTTGGATGGACTATAATGCTTGCTTATTATATAAGATTTTGATGAGCCTTTAGCAGCTTATCATTCAGGATTTCAAAAAAAAGTCAGTTTTAAGGCTTGTGGGAACCAACTCGCCGAATCCCACTTGGTTTCATTTCGTCGTATCGATACACGCAATTTCGGCCCTTAGTCTATGTGTTTTCACAGTGCTGGGCTATGTTGCCAGTACCATTCCGATGACACTTGTTGTTCTCTTCATCTTCCAGACGTTCATGGCCATTCTTGGTCTTGCAGCAATTGAACAAAGTCGCCGAGGTCTATTTACTATTTTTTAAGAACTGACCAGCATGTGACAGTTAATTACAATGCCAATCATTCAATTCACAAGGATTAACTGATCGTCCAATCTATTTATTTATTAATTGAATTGAGATTTGTATAGGATACAAGTGGTCGAATTAAATACCGCTTGCAGATTATCGTTCATTATATATTGCTGTAAATATTGTAACTGCTGGGTCAGCCATTATCTGGTCAATATTTCTTTTCATAAAAATGAAGGAGTACCCGATATATGTGCCTGTTGTATTCCTTATCATCGCGCTTTTCTCAGTTTGTTTTATACTTGCAAAATTGCTGTATTTAAGCTCACTCGTTTGCTCTTCATTCTGAAAATAAATTGATAAAGAACTGTTAAAAAATTTCTCATCTCTAAATGAGTCATTCGTTTATTCTACCTAGCCAATTTAATTCTTTCATACCCGCACTTATCCATTATTAACAATATCTTTTGCATTTATATACAATTAGTCTTACATAAACCTTTGCTTTACTAAACTGTTTTTTGTATCTTAATAAATTTCTCCATGCTTCAATCAAAATGTTAAAATATAGTGTACGTTTTTGTTGTATGATATACTTCTTTCTTTATAGCTGCCTGCAACAATTCTGTTGATATTTTTCCCTGATAAAAGAATACCGCAAAGTTTTGAAAAAGTCATATGCTTGGATCTTTTCCCTTTCGCTAAATTATTCTGTGACACCAGAATGTCGAAGAAGGCAAACACAAAAAGTAAATCTTTCAAAATCATTTCGCATTATTTTTTAATTATTTCAGTATAATATGTTAAGGGTGCAATGACAATTCGATAAAACATGACGCACATGGAATGAGGGGTAGTGTGGCAGTAAAGAGATGAAGCCCTCATCGGTAGAGTAAATCATCGTATAATAGGTAAGAGCATTTTCATGCATATGTTAACTGCTTCCACTTCTTTTTTCGGTGGCAAAAAATTTGATGACACGCGACCAAAAGGGAAGAGAGAAGTAAATGCCGCGCAATCAGTAGGAGTGAAGGAAGAAAATTCCGTACAATTAATAGAAACAAAGGAAGTGAATTCTAACGAATCTCTGAATGGCTCGATAAAGTCTGTTGGAGTGAGTAACTTTTACTATGGATTTTGAAACACGAAGTGCCATCTGTTTTAGCAAAAAGGACTTTAGGAACAGCTGCTGAAGACCGGAATTAATTTTGCAGGTTTAATCAGAGAAGCTTTAATTTTCATTTCCAGTCACAGGATCAACAAAAGGATAGCTCTATAATGAAAGTCAGTGCCAGTATGACTGAAAGCGTACAACAACAGCAAAATATAACAGAAACAAGAAATGAAGAATTCCCAAAAAGATCAAGGATAGCAGCAGGGGCAGAAAGAGATGGTGGTTACTTTACACGAATTTCAACCATGAAACTTCCGTTATTTTGAATTTTGATTCAGTATACACTGAATAAAATTCTTAGAAAAGATAAAATAATTAAAATTTCCGCTTTTAACAATTCAATCTTAAAAACATTATTTCAGTGAAAGAAGGCATAAAGCCAGTTGTCCAGTTGGAAGAAATAAGTAATGAAACAAAAAACAGTGCGGTGTCGTCATACGTGAATCATCCATCAGAAGTATTTTCAGCTTCTGTCACAGACCTGATCGTCAGAAACGAGCCTAAACCATTCTTTTCTTTCAGGGGCATTGCCTTGTGATTGGTAGTAATTGGCGTGAATTTTATGCCATACCAATCTTGAACGCATGCAATGTTCCTCTATGCTCAACTGCTCGAACTGGTCGTGATCGCTTCTGCAACAGACTGCTTATCAAGAAGTGTCGTAACAAGTAGCCCTTTTCTGATGACTTCGCAGCCAACTTCTGCGAAAATGTTCAAATTTTTTATAAAACAATTCAATTAAATATTTCAGAAAAAAAAAACGCAAAATTATCCCAAAATTTTCTCCACTGGAAAAGAATATATTCGAACACAGTCCACAGAACAACGCCAAAAGCAAACTTTAAAAAGTAATTCATTCAGGACTAACATTTAAACGATGATTTAGAAAGATATTAGCAGCTAATCGACTGCAACAGTTTATTTTTCAGTAGATTTGTGGAGAAAGATCCTTGTGATAGTCATCTAAAATAGCATCTGTCTCCTTGGTTTACTTCTTGTTATATCTCTACTTTTTTAAATAATGCTGTCTTTCGTGTTTATCTAAATAAAATGACTATGCTATCGTTTCCTCTTATTGTCACTGTCGGCTTTCTTTGGTGACATGGTGGTGACTACAATATTGAGTGAAAGAAAAAAAGAGTCCAGCAAAAGAAAAGCAATTGGTAAAAGAAATAAGAAGGAACAAAACATCTGATAGTATGGGGAGCGTCAAAGATGTGCCAACGGTAAGTACTGAGAATGGAACGTCTAGTGGAGCGGTGATTTTCATAATGGTCAGTCGGTGCTGCTGAAAGGTACGTTAGGGATACGCGGTGGTTTTGATTGGCCGAGAGAATTATGTTTTGGGCAGAGTTCAGTGGGTTGTTGGTATTTTATACTGGGAGGTGTGAGGTAGGAGTTTTGGATATTAGAACTATACTGAGATGTTTGGTGTGAAAGTTCACTTCTGTTAGTACTGTTATGGACAGTAAATAATTCGTACGTATGCGTGGCGTGCAGTGACAATGTTATGATTGTCATTACCTCACTAGTTACCGTGCTGACTTGGATTATTGCATCTCTTTTGCTTTATTTTATCCCATTTTGTTTTATTAATTTAAATCAGTCTAAATCATCTTATCTTATTTTGTTATCATCCAAACAGTAATTAGTGGTACACATTGAAATGATTTGTATCAACTTGATTAGGAGTAATTTTGAATTTCTTTTCCAGAATTAAGTTAATTTAGTGATGCATTATTGAGAAAAAACAACGAACCGAGAATTTAAATGGCAGAAAATACTACTGCTCAGCCATCGACATCACTTTCTTTCTTCAGCGATAGTTTTATCATAAAACGTGGCAAAAAACCGCTTCATTCAATGGAATTTATTTTGGATTTAGAAGATGAAAATAGCCGTTTGCAACTTGAGGTTTCTTCCTTTTTCCACTTTATAAGTAATATAGAAAAAGGAAATGGTTATAGCTTATCAAATTTCTGTACGACTTTCGAAGCTTTATATGTTGACATCAAAATTAAACATTTGACTCCAGTTTTTTTCCTTCTGGTTACAGAGAGACATCAAGTTTCTTGGTGGGAAAGTTTTGGAATCGCTTGACGATGATGGTGAAAAGCCTTTTTGTGTTGTTACCGACCATCCACATGCACGGTACTTGGAAAGGGTAACAAAAACGAAAAGAATTACATCCGAGGTAAGAATTGTGTGCGAATAATTACACCCGAACATTCTGTAAATTGATGCCTTGAGATATATGACATTTCGTTTTTTATGAGGGAATCACTTGTTCTGTACGAGAAATATTATTACTTTCTGTTAAGATTATATGCTGTTATTGACGGACTGTGCAGTGTCTTTTCCCGTGGTAAGCTTATGACAGTATATATATGTAACACTTAATTTCACAAAGCATTATTGATCTTTATGTTCGTTTCTGTATTCTTTCAGTACTGCAGTTGTTTGCCAGTATTGCTCCGAGTTGCCGTACAAAACGGTGTGCGTGTTCGAACATATACTTCTTTCCTTCAAATCTTATCAAATGTGAAAAACCGCATTAAGTTGAATCAGAAAGCGAAATTAGCTCCTATAAAACCAAAACTGGAAAAACAGGTATGTTGTTTCAAAACGTTTCAGACGATGTTTTGGCAAGTATTTGGCTGCTTCGTTAATAGTTAGGAGTAGCACATATTTTTTAACTGTTTCAATTGATATAAAGAAATATAAAGATAAGCATTCACTGTAGATCATGAAATTTCTGCAGGCTGTTATGTTGCAGATGAATCAGAAAGGAGATGCGGAGTTTCAGTTGTTTGTTGTTAGTAATAAGAGAGCACATACTTTCGCGATTGTATACCTAAATAATCAAATGTGATTATTTGGTTCAAATGATAGGATAGTTTAATGTCTAATTTTTTCCACTATTTTCACTTTACAGAAAAGCATACGCAAGTTAACACCACCATTCATCAAATTTGAAGATAACAGTCTCCAGTATGCGCCTTCTTGGAAGGAATATGGAATACCTTCTAATTTTCGGCCAATTTATGTTGGTGAAGCAGCCGGAAGATCGATATTTCATAAAGCTTCTCCAGAATATTTAAAGCGGAAGTACTGTTCTTTGTAGATTCCAAATCTTATTACTTTTCTTTTTTCCACCAATCATTTGCTTTAGGAAACTGTTCAGACAGACAGAGTGGAAATAAACTAAGCTTGGTTTTTAATTGACTGTCTTAGTTGATTTCCTGTTTTTTACCATTCTCTCACCTTAGGGAATTAATTCCATTACTGTGAACTAATAAGTTGTCGAACTTTTCCAGGAAGGATATGAAGATTTCGAAGCCTCGAGCAAAAAGTCGAGTTGGGCCTGGATTCTGCGATATTTGCACACGTGATTGCCAAGATTTGCAGCTGGTAGGTTTATTTTAATTATCTACAATTTTTCGTGGCTTTCAACTAAAACCTTTTCGGTTTTCATCACATTCTTCAATACACCATGAGGTTTACTCATAAGATTAAATGTTTAGTTCGTTACTTTTTGTTAATAGAAATAATACTTCATAGATCATTAAAGTGTCACTATGACCTACAGGTGTGATGGTTAAAATTCCATGTGTGGTGATTAAAGTACAATAGACTTAGGAGTATTAATTCTTAATTTTTAATTTCAGCATTTTTTATGCAAAGAGCATCAAACACGTATCAGTACGCCTGGTTTTTACGATGAGGTTGATGCATTGTGCGGTTCATTTGTAAAAGAAATCGTCGTACCGAATAAAAGACTTCGGGAACGATTGACACCGGAACCGCTTTCACTGCCATCCAATCACTTTCTTGACTCTACACTTTCTTTTCGGACACCTGATAGTAGAACTGAAATTTAAACGGGTTATTTGATAGTTCGTTCAGGACTTTCCTAACTTGTTTTTGTTCTTCCTAAAATTAAAATCAACTAAGAATTCGGTAAAAATTCATCTTTTTTATTAAATTTGATTTTTCGCGCCTTTTTTTTCATTTACTTTTAAAAAAACTGTAAAACGATTATTATATTGCTCCTAGTAAATTTTAATGACTTATTCCCCATACCATCATACCATCGTGACTTTGTGTATTCTTACTAGCGAAATCCTGTTTCGAATTTTGGTTATCCCATTTTTTCTTTGTTCTCTTTCATCTCCTTCATTCTTTGATTTCTAACCACTGTTAAGGTGCTTCTTGCTGATGTTTCCGTCTAGTGCGTATCTTAAGAAACTTGTATTTTCAATTGAACCATCCTTTAAATCACGTACAAAATGATTATGCCTTCTTGATGTATCTTCATAATATTTTTGATTTCGTTACTTTTTTGCATGACTTTTTTTCTTTTCGGGATATTTGGAATGTTTGATGTCTGACATATTCATATTTAATATGCGTTACTCATATGCTGAATTTTTAATGTCGTAGCGGGTGGCCGCTTTGTAAATGCCTCTAGCACAGCAGTAGTGTGCGTTGTCCATTACAAATTTTGAAGTGAAAATTTTCCTAGCGTGGTTACGAAGGTTACTAGTCTAATACATATTACGCAATATTAGCAACTTCCCTTTAAAAGGTAAAAGATTTGTTGTAGTATGTGCAAATAAACATTCTTTAAAAGTTCAGAGTGATCTATGTGTTCAGGAATATGGCACAGCGTTTGAGTTTTGTTTTGTTTTCTAAGTTTTATTTCGTAAATTTTTGTTGAAGATTTTTGGTTTCCAATTTGCCGATCGTAGCACACTGCCGAATCGCCGAATAGCTCATACAGTTTATCATAGGGATTTTGGATATATTACAGGCATCTTAGAGTATTCCACCGCAGTGATGCAGAGTTAGGCAAGATTTTGCTGTAAAGTCTGTGTCTGTATTCTGTCCTTTCTTGCATTAACTCGTGAAATATAATGGGTCTGGAAGATGTTAATACCCTTAAGTTTATTGCTGAGTTCGTTTGTTGCTACTTGCTAATGATGACCAAGCACAAATAAGTAGAACTCATTGAATGTATTTGGAAATTTGAAACTATAACCCTTTGTGAGCATCAACAAGGATCACAGTAACACGAGATAGTCAGTCGCGAAAACTCCGAAACAATTTTGCTGGACGACGAATTAAAACACAGACAAATTTCGATTGTTTGGTGCTCGGGACCGGCATTTCAGTCGATGTATTTATGAATTTTTTAGGATAATAATGAACTGTACAAAACAATACAAACAAAAATGCGAATTTTTCCAACAGAATAGAAGTTTTTATGGTAGCTGGGGCAAAAGTCTTGGAAATCTGAGCTGGAAATAAAGCGACCATATACGTCAACATAAGACTAGTCACTTTACATAGTTAAATTATGAAATTAAATTGGAATAATGACTTTCAAGAGGCAACAGAATTCGAATGCCAAACACAACTTAGATTAGCTCTAGTGAACATAAGTGGCATGATGAAATTAATAACAATATAAAAGCAAGGAAACACAGATTCATATTTTCAAATTTAGCATCCATCTTAACAAGACACATGACTGTGCAGAAAACTGCAGCGTAGAGTGAGAAATGGGACAGGACAGAGACTCGAATATAAGATTAACAAACATATTAAGCTGAAACCAAATTCATTCATGCAAAAAAGGCATTTTCAATAACAATGAAAAGTAAACATCGGATAAAAAATCAACAATCAAGAATACATAGTTGTTCTGCTAACAATAACAAGCACAAAATTCCCTACGGAAATAAAAATTTGGATATTAGGTGAACAAAGATTAATGAAAATCTAATTAACAAACTAACAATGACAAGCCAGTAAGGATTGCTAAATATATGAATAAAGAGCA